TACCCACTCCAGTTATTCTTGGTCTTCCCTTGTGGCTCAGCTGGTAAAGAATCCACCTGCAGTGTGGGAGACCTGAGTTTGATCCCTGGGTTGGGAAGATCCTCTGGAGAGGGAAAGGCTACCCACTCCAGTATTTTGGCCTAAAGAATTCCATGGACTGTATTCTCCATGGGGTCACAAAGAGTAAGATACAACTGGAGCAACTTTCACTCGGCATGGGCTGGTGATGTGATCTCAAGCCAGCACCCTCAAAGCACTGTGTCATGAACAAATCAGAGCTACAGATGTTCAGTGTATGTGAACTTTTTGTAAGTGGATGGTGTTCTGTCCTTGACACTATGAAGTATTTACCCTGACAGATAACTATACTGTGTTTTCTATAAATACCTCATCCTGACACAGAACTGTGATGCTGGTGGAAGTGATGCCATTGTACAGATGAGAAGACTGGCTCCACTTTTGGGTAGCAGTCCTAAATTTAACAATTTTGATCAAAATAATTGAGCCTCAGCAAGCAAAAATGTATCGAACTTCATTGTCCGAGTTACTAGGAAAACGGTACTAAGGTGTGCTTCTTGGGGAGTTTTCAGTGTAGGTGGAGCATTGGGAAATTCACATCATAGTGTGACAAGTGTGGGGTTTCAAGGATGGGCTAGTACTCCCCAAGCTGCCTCCTGCAGACCCAGGATGCAACCCAGCAGGATTATCTGGAACAAGTGGCCCCAAAACATCTTAACAGCAACCTCCACCTGCTTCGTGTCTTTCATCTGTCCTCTACTTCACCAAGTTGATGGCTGTAAACAGTCCTGCCTCAAAACCAGTTGCATTCTACAGTCCAGGCTCAGCCTAGTCTGAAGGCCCTGCCATACCTTATCAGTCCTAATTTCCCAATACAAGATAAGACCAGCAGTTTTAAGTACTTAATTATTTGTCTACACCCATTTTCATGAAAGTCATAACTACTAAGAAGTTGACCTCCCTAGCTTCATTTTTGGCTAGGTACTTTTGTCTGCTTTCAGTGTTTATTCGACAAATTTCTAAGGGCCTCCTGGATGTCAGATACTGATGGAAGCCCTGAGGTCGCTATAATGACTAAGATTCACTTCTGCTCTAACAGGAGCTTTTCTCTGATGGTAATAACACTAGGAAAAAAACAGATAAATGGCATTCCTAAGGGGGTACTTAGGTCTGAGAGCTCAAGAAAGACTTTCTAGAGAAGTTTCAGTGACGAAAACCTGGAAAACCAGTGTTTTTCCAAACTCAGCATGGCTGCCTTCCCACCGGAACCCTCAGCCCCATCTCACAGAACTACGTAACAGCTCTTGAGTTTCTTACTTTATTCATAGATGCACTGTATTCTGGGCAGGTAGATCTCATTCAGGATTCACATTTCACCTCGGGGAAAGCCAACCCCGGTCATCCAGTTCACTTGAATGGGGCTCAGGGTCACTCAGTCATCCTCTATTAGTGCCTCCACTTCAGCCACAGTTGCTGAGCATGAGCAGTGGATTTGGGCTTAAGTGTCTACACTGCTCTGTCATAGGCCCCTTTGTTTACAATATTACCAATGATAGATAAAAATTCCCATTTTAAGGCAAGACAAGAAAGGCTAAAGCCTCCTCCCTCCCCTCCAGCGTGCATTGTGTTTCTGTGTTATGCATTAACCACAAGTCCTCAGTGGCAGAAATAACCTGTTCAACCATAAAGTTCAATTTTTCTTCTGGTGCCAGTCGTGGAACTCCTTAGGAGATAACATTCATTTCTCAGTCCTGTAAGGGGTCACAATGACCCACCACTTGCTTTGTACATGAAGACATCTTTGTTGAACTATGTACAATGCCAATGTGCCATTTCCCTTAAAGACAGCGATGGGGGCAGAAAGGGCTGGTCAGATGACCTGGGGAGTTACTGGGCTGCACCTAAGGAAAGCACTCAGCTTAAATACTTCCTTAGGAAAGAATGTTGCTAGCTATATTTCACATATTCTGCCTATTTTACAAGATTTTTTTTTAAGTTGCTGGTGGTCTTAGTTGTGGCCCACAAGCTATTTGTTGCAGCCTGTGGGCTTCTCCCAAGTTGTGGTGCATGGGCTCCTGGGCACACAGGCTCAGCAGTCGTAGCTCACAGGCTTGGTTGCCCCACAGTGTATGGGATCTTAGTTCCCCAACCAGAGATGGAACCTGTGTCCCCTGCATTGGAAGGCAGATTCTTAACCACTGAACTACCAAAGAAGTCCTTAAGAATATTGTTTCTTGCACAACCAGATGTGTGACAGAGCATCCGATAAAAATGATGACTAGGCGACCACAACAAATACACAGTTCTACAAAGTCAATGATAGTAACAGTCTAACTCTATAGATAATGGGAAGAAACTAGAGGGAATCATTACCTGAACCATAACAGGCCAGTAAGACAGGAGGTCCAGAGGCTTTTGGCTACTACTAACAGAGCCCAGTCCAGTAATAACACACTGAATGGCCTATCAGTGATTGCTTGCCTGGCCTGGGAATGAGCATCCCTATCACCATGGGCCATATCAGTCACAGAATACCTCTCAAACCTTGGTCAAAATTAAGACTGAAAGGGAAGGAACTGTAAAATAAGGAATATAGCCTCCCACCCAGTTCTACAAGAATCAAGTCATTAGCCACTTGATGACCTACATATACCATGAGAGGAATTCAGGATAAGAATTCGGACAAGGCACTTTTGTGCTCTAGGAAAACTGGTAGGACTGTCCTTCAGACAGATGTCTTCAAGAGAAAAATTCCTGAACCCAGTTTCTTGCATCTTCCCATACTTAAGAACTAAAACCATTAAGCTGTTAATTCCTCCTGAAGAGCAACAACCTTCTATCAAGCCATGTGCTTGATTGCATATGTCCCTTCATCAGAATCACAGATAAACTGGCCTCCCTCCCCTACCCCTTCCTTACAGTCCTCAGAGGTTTCTGAAGACTGTCTGTTAGGTTATAGTCCTTTGATTTTGTTCAGTCACTCAGTCTTGTCGACTCTGCAATCCCATGGAGTGCAGCACACCAGGTTTCCCTGTCCTTCATGGTCTCCCTGAGTTTGCTCAAACTCATGTCCATTGAGTCTATGATGCCACCTAACCATCTGATCCTCTGTCGTCCCCTTCTCCTCCTACCCTCAATCCTTCCCAGCACCAGGGTCTTTTCCAATTAGTCAGCTCTTTGCGTCAGGTGGCCAAAGTAGTGTAGCTTCAGCTTCAATGAGTATTCAGGGTTGATTTTCCTTAGGATGGACTGGTTTGATCTCCTTGCTATCCAAGGGACTCTCCAGCACCACAATTCAAAAGGCACTCAGCTTTCTTTATGGTCTAACTCTCACCCATACATGAAAAACCATAGCTTTGACTGTATGGACCTTTGTCAGCAAAGTGATGTCTCTGTTTTTTAACATGCTGTCTACATTTGTCATAGCTTTTCTTCCAAGGAGCAAGCGTCTTTTAATTTCATGGCTGCAGTTACCGTCTGCGGTGACTTTGGAGCCCAAGAAAATAAAGGCTGTCACTCTTTCCATTGTTTCCCCATCTATTTGCCATGCAGTGATGGGACCAGATGCCGTGATCTTAGTTTTTTGAATGTTGAGTTTTAAGCCAGCTTTAGGTTAGCTCAATTAAAATTCTCCATTTCTTCCATAAACAATTAATTGTTAATGGATATCAAGCACATAAAAGGGGCTTCATAAATCAATAAAAAGTCTGGAAAGAGCTCATGATTTGGAGTATAAATGGGGGCGGGGCGGTTAATTCCACAGTCCAGTTCTCAACTCTATGATCTTAATTAAGCAAACCCCCTCTAAGTTCCATTTGGCTAGTCAGCTAAATATTGGAAACAGCCCCTAGCCCTCCTCTTCTGATGGAAGATCAAGTCAGTCCTGTTTGTTACTTAATGAAGGATAGACTGAATCACTGTAGCGAAAATTCGTTAGTTGCTTTACTGGTCCTGGTTTCACCAACTTGGTTTCCAGTCTCAAAGTACTGGGTAGCCAACTAGTCCTTGCCCACATTAATGAAGTGTCACGGGGGCTTATCTCCCAGAGTCATCTGCTCCCGTGCATCCGTTAAAAGGAGAAAGACACAGCTTTAAAGAGCTCCGCGCCCTTGCCAGATTAGATCTTCAACCCTGCCACCACCCCTCCCTGCAGGTGCGAGCCGGAGGCACAGCACGTGCGCTTAGCTCGCGGGCATCCCGGCGCCCAGCCCAAGCCAGCCCCGCCCGGCAAGTCGCTCCTCGCCACGTGACCCTGCCCCCTGCCATTGGCCGGGCAGGAGAGGCGGGGCCGCCGCGGAGGCGCGAGCTGGCCGATTGCGGCCTGACTCGGCTGCGGGCTGTCTCCGGAGCGGCTGGGAGGTTCGAGCTCTGTGCGCGCGGTGGGCCGGCGGGCGGGGAGGCGGGGGCTGCGGGCGTGGGCACCGCGCACGCGTAGGGAGCGGCTCCCGGATGCCGCGCGTCTGCAGGAGAGCGGCCTCGCGCGGCTCCGCGGCAGGTGTGCCGGGGCATCCCTGTCACGTGACCGAAGAGGCCGGGGAGCCGGGCGCGGGCGGGGGACAGGGTCGTGCAGCCCAATCCTCCAAGCTGGAGGGCGGGGACGAGGCCAAAAAGCCGTGACTCTCAAGGGTCTGGCCTCGGGAGGCCCTAGGAGGGTGTTGGGCACCCCAGAAATTAGGGGAAATTGGGGAAGATACCCACCCTTTTATTACCATGTCAGTAAGGAGTCCGGCGCCCCTGGGAAGTAAGGTCCTGAGGAAGATGGAGGGGTTCGGGACTCCTGCAGGGAGCCCAGATCCGAGCTAGAAACGATGCAGTCGGGGCAGTTGACGTCAGAGGTCTTTGGGTTCTGGCTGCACCCTAAATCGCAGTAAGCGCACGGGCAAGCCCTTGCCTCTCTCTAGGCCCCCAGTTCCTGGCTCCCGTCCCCCGGCCTCGAGGGGCCTACCATGGTCCGAGGCCTCACCCCTGTGGTCTGCCGTAGGATGGGCCTCTCTGCCGCCGCCCCGCTGTGGGGCGCCCCGGGGCTGCTCCTGACCATCGCCCTGCTCCTGGCGCTCTCCCTGCACCCTGCCCAGACCTGGGCGCCGGTGCATCGGGACTACTGCGTCCTGGGCGCCGGGCCCGCGGGCCTGCAGATGGCCTACTTCTTGCAAAGGGCAGGCAGAGACTACATGGTGTTTGAACGCGCCCCGGGGCCAGGCAGCTTCTTCATGCGCTACCCCCGGCACCGCAAGCTCATCAGCATCAACAAGCGGTACACCGGCAAGACCAATGCCGAGTTCAACCTGCGCCACGACTGGAACTCTCTGCTCAGCCACGACCCCCGACTGCTCTTCAGACACTACTCTGACGCTTACTATCCCGACGCCAGCGACATGGTGCGCTACCTGAGCGACTTTGCAGAGCGGCTGGGGCTTCATGTGCTGTATAACACAACCATTGCCCACGTCACTCTGAACAAGGATCGCGGGGCCTGGAATGGCCATTACTTCATCCTGACCGACCACCGGGGCCAGGCATACCAGTGTAGGTAAGGAACCTGGCTGCGGAGCTCACCTGCCGAAGCTGGGGCCTTTCTGGGAGGAAGAAAACCCATTGGTTGGCCCATATGCGTGGGAGAAATGGGAGGGAAAGGGCATTTCAGCCCGTCTTTGGTGGTGGGTTAGTCGCTAAGTCATGTCTGACTCTTGCGACCCCATGGACTGTAGACCACCAGGCTCCTCTGTCCATGGGATTCTCCAGGCAAGAATACTGGAGTGGGTTGCCATTTCCTTCTCCACGGGATCTTCCTGACCCAGGGATCAAACCTGGGTCTTCTGCATTGCAGGTGCATTCTTTACAGACTGAGTCAACCGGAAAGCCCCCTCCCCATCTTTGCTCCCACTGAAATCCAGTACACAGAGGTTCAGTTCATCCATCATTTCCCAGGTGTTTCCTAGAAATGTGTGTACCCAAAGATATTTGAAAATTCTGACCATTTCTTTCCTCCAGGATTTTTCAGTCTTAAATATTTTCACATTCACTGAAGGGCTCCAACATTGGGTAAAGTATTCAGCATTATCTGAGCTTATGCACCTACAAAACCCTTTTTGTAGCATTTCTCCTAGAACTTGTGTTCCCCAAAATCCATTCTGAGAAATGCTGGCAAGTGTCCAGTAAGTGTTAGCCGGGCTCAGTAGGATTTCAGAATTGAATGAGAGCCAGGCACAACAGGCAGTGCTGCCAGCATTCAGCTTCAGCTTGCTTTGGCTTGGGAGAAAGCTTAATATTGTGTAGACAACCCCAACTCAGAGTTACACATTCTACCGTGCTTGTTTAATCCTCACAAGGACCCTGTGAAGGAGGTTCACTGATCCCCATTTTATGAATGACAAACTGAGGCTCAAAGAAGTTAAGTCACTGGTGTTCTGTCACACAGCTAATAAGTAGCAGCTGCCACTTGACTGCACTTGTCTTTCTGACTTTGAAGCCTGTGTTCTTAACGCCCCACCAGACTGACTCCCCCTTTCTGGTTGTCAGCCTAGCACCTGGCCCCAGGCAGGTGCTCCATCACAGTTGATCTTCTCAAGCCTTTTGCCCGAGGCCCAGCCTTATTCCTTGTTACAGCTTAGGGAGTGGGGTCAGTTTGGACCCTCGCATCTTAGGACTTTGAAATGCTACAGTATAGGGGAGTCAGTTGTAAGCCAGTGGACAGCTCAGGAAACAAGGGGGGATGGGGGCTGCCCAGGCCCTTTCTCCAGACCACCTGTTCCTGTTTTTGAAACTATCTTGTTATCCACTCTTTCCTCTGCAGGCCAGCAGGGTCCAGCTCCTGGCTTGCCCACCACAAGATTGTAATCCCCATCAGCAGAAAGAGCAGGACTCTGAAATTAGGCTGGGCTGTGGTCAGAGACTAGCTCTGCTATCTGAGGAGCTATGGAGGCCATGGGCCCACTGGGAGCCGGCATTCCTCACCTGTAACACAGGCCAAATAATACCGACGCAGACCTGCTTTGAGCAGTGAGATGAGTCAGAAAGTACTTAGTACAGGGACTCGTACAGAATCACTGCTCAGCAGATTCTGCATCTGTCAGGGAAGTAAGAAAGGGGAAAGCAGAGTATCTGGTTTCATTTTCATGGTGGTACTTGGTATGGCTGCTGTGTTCAAAATTAAGTGAATTATTGTTCCTTATGGTGTCACCCTCTCTAGAGTCAGAAAGTAAAACTGATTCTCACGTTTGGTATAATCCCAGAAAGGTGAAAAGCAAACTATACCCAATGGGTCATTCAGTGAGGGGGCTGAGGTAAAGTGTCAGATACGCTGGGACAGGTCAGGAAGTAGGCAGAAGAATGAATGACCTGCTTTCCTTTAGGACCTAGCAGCCTGGGTGGGGCTGGCGAGCCAGGTGGCAGGTCCAAAGAGGGATTTTTTACTTAGTGGTCTCATAGTTGAGAGGCTAAGCCACCCTCCCTCTGTCCCCCACCTGCAGCGTCCTTCTCGTGGCCACCGGCTTGCCGGTGCCCAACCAGGTGGACTTCCCTGGCTCCGAATATGTGGATGGTTATGAGTCTGTGTCCGTGGATCCCAAGGACTTCGTGGGTCAGAATGTGCTGATCCTGGGCCGGGGGAACTCGGCCTTTGAGACAGCAGAGAACATCTTCAGTGTCACCAACTTTATCCACATGCTGAGCCGCTCCCGGGTCCGGCTCTCCTGGGCCACCCACTACGTCGGAGACCTCAGGTATGCTGAGAGGTGTCGTGTGTGCCGCCCTGGCCCCCGCCTGACTAAGCCCCCCTGCCCCCAAGTCTCCCTCACCTCGCACAGACCCTTCTCTCTCTCTCCTGACCTTCCCTTGGGGCCCCAGGGCCATCAACAATGGCCTGCTGGACACCTACCAGCTCAAGTCCTTGGACGGGTTGCTCGAGTCCGACCTGACAGACTTGGCCATCGTGAAAGACCACCAGGGCAAGTTCCACATCACTCTGAAGCTCTTCATGGAGGCAGGCAATCAGAGTTCCGACGCCATCCCCCTCCCCCAGGACGACAATGACAACTTTGCCATGCGCGTGGCCTATGACCGGGTCATCCGCTGCCTGGGCTGGAAGTTTGACTTCTCCATTTTCAGCAAGTGAGTCCAAATGGAGGGGAGGAACTCCAAATGGAGGGGAGGAACTCGATCTCTCAGCAGAGCCGTCTGGTCCAGGCCCTGGGTGGACACGGAGACACCAGAGGGCCTGAACCGATCTTCCTGTCCTGTCAAATCACACAGGGACCCAAGCCCAGACGCCAGTCAGGCTTGAGTCCTGGGTATGTCCCTGCCCCACCACATCTTTACCCTGAAGGTCAGTTATTCTGTGTGTTCAATGGACATGATCATACCTGTCTTCTAGGGTTGGGGTGTGATTTAAACTAGCTCAGTGCCAGGCCTGTAAAAAGTGTTTCATGCACAGCAGTGATTTTAATTCACAGCCCTCTCCACTCACAGGTCACTCCGACTCTCTTCAGGGAGTGAACTCAGCAAGAAGTACCCCCTGGTCAGAGCCAGCTATGAATCCAAAGGGAGCCGGGGCCTCTTTATCCTGGGGACTGCCAGCCATTCAGTGGATTACCGGAAATCTGCTGGGGGTTTCATCCATGGATTCCGATACACAGGTGAGCCTGGCGGAGGGCTGCTGTCCCCAGACAGAACCATCCCTAGGGTTTGCAAACATATGCCTTATTCCCTTAGAGCAGTCTTAAAGGTATTGCTTATCAGCAGTTGATTGTCATAAATTCCCATCTGGGGCAGACAGCAGTGGGTTTTCATGGTCTGAGGATATGTCTAGAGCAGGGGTTCCCAACCCCTGGGCTATGGACCGGAACCAGGCCGCACGGCAGGAGGTGAGTGGCTGGTGAGCAAGCAAAGTTTCATGTATATTTATAGGAGCTCTCCATCGCTCACAGTGCTGCCTGAGCTCCGCCTTCTGTCGGATCAGTGGTGGCATTAGATTCTCACAGGAGTGCAAACCCTACTGTGAACTGTGAGTGCGAGGGATCTAGGTTGTGTGCTTCTTATAAGAATCATCCCCAAACCACCCACCCCGCCCTGAGGCTATAGAAAAATTGTCTTCCACAAGACCAGTCCCTGGTGCCAAAAAGGCTGGGGACCACTGGTCTAGAGAAGTCCCAGATAAGGTGTAACCTGGGGGTGCATGCTCCATGTGTCAGCCCTGTGTGGGTGAAGTACCTACATTGGCAGTAATGCTGAGCTTGGGGACAGCTCACCTTGGGGAACAGCTGGGTGGTCTCAGACTGTGAGGCTCCCTAAGCTCCCTAAGCCTGTTGGTCCTCCCCTGACATCGGAGAGGTAAATGAGGTGGACTTTCTTCCCCGTGGGGCCATGGTAAGGACTAAATAAGGTAATTCCTGGAGGCAGTGCACCTGGGAAGCATTATGTACACATAAACTTTGGGTACCAACAAATTTCATTAAAAATGGCACCTAGATTATATCAGCTCTTTTTTTAAAACTCTTGGTATCAACAGTGCCAGTTTTCTGCACTCTGGGTAGCCCACTGGATGGGTGCTTTATCGCATGACAAGTGCTAACATGGGCCAGTTAATTTGACCATAAAAACACCATAAGTGTCCTTCTTCCTGATGTTTCTGCATCTGATTTGATGCCTCACTTGCCTTGATGCTAGCTTCCACATTTCACTCTCCTTCCAGTTTGGCGTGGAAAGATAATCATGTTTCGCTGTTGATTTCCAGATGATATATTTTATACCCTGTGCATGCTGTCGGGGAAGAAAACCAAAGAGAGAGTGTTCGCTGTTTACCGAAATATTTGCAGACCGCAAACACACAGACACACACACACAGAATAGGAAGAGTCTCTCTCTCCAGCTGTGTTCCCAGCAGGAAACCCTCCTCACACTCTATGCACGTCACCCGCCCCATACCCGCTGTCCTGGCAGGTCCTGCCCCTTCTCTCTTGCCTCCCCATCCCCTGATCTTTCTCCAGGTCACTTTCCTCTTTTTTTTTTTACTGTGCTGGGTCTTCATTGCTGGTGGGCTTTTCTCTAGTTGCAGCAAGCAGGGGCTACTCCTCTAATTGCCGTGTGTGTCTTCTCATTGTGGTGGCTTGTCTTGTTGCCGAGCACAGACTCTAGGGTGCCTGGGCTTCAGTAGTTGTGGCTCCTGGGCTCTAGAGCACAGGCTCAATAGTTATAGCACACATGATTAGTTGTTCCGAGGCATGTGGGATCTTCCCAGACCAGGGATCAAACCTGTGCCTCCTGCATTGGCAGGTGGATTCTTTACCACTGACCCACCTGGGAAGCCCCACCTATCTCACATTCTTAATCCTCCCAACAGCCCCGTAAGACAGATCTTGTTATTTCAGTTCCCTTTTTCATAGAAGGAAATGGGGGCACAGAGAACCTAAGTCACTTACCCGAAGTCACCAAGCCAATGGAAAGCAGAGGTGGCATTTGAATCCACACCTGTGTGACTCAAAGGCTCCCAGCTAACCACTGAGTTTCAGGCAAATGGGAAACACTTCTGGGTGGACAGGCCACTGAGATCTGTGGTCCCTATTCCTGGCTGAGGACCCGCCTAGGGGGAGGGGCAGTGCAGCTGTACACGGTACATCCTGCCCGACCTTGCTCATCATTCAGCTGAGAAACAGCTTGTCCCAAGGGAGACAAGTAGAAAACAGCAAGGCAGAGAAAAGCCACAGAATACAAGAGATGGTAGCTGTGAAAGGTAGGGCCTGCTGGGAGCCCTGCCCCTCCCTTCCCCCATCGCTCCATCCCAGGCTCGCTTGCCTGACTTGGGGCCTTTTTGTCTCTCCTGACTGGTCTTCCTGCCACTGGTCTCTCTGGCTTCCCATCCAGCCACTCTGATGCCCACCAGAACACTGTTATTTGAACAAAAAACCTTCCAGGGGCTCCCCAGCCAGGTCCTCGGTATGGTGTCCAGAGCTTCATACAGGCCAGCACCAGCTCACTTGCCCAGCCTGGCCCTCGCCTCCTTTTCAGAATGCGCCCATTTCTCTCAAGCTTTTATGTCTTTGCACCTGTGCTCCTTTGCTCAGGTCCCCTACCCCATTCCCCTAGCCGTGTACTCACTCAGCCTTTCACAAAACTCAGCCTAACCTTGTTTCCTCCAGAGAACCAGGTTTCTGTCTGTCTCATGAGGCGAACATCCTTTCCTGTGACCGCTGGCAGACCGAGCCTCTTGTCACGTGAATTGTCTGTGTCTTTGCCACTATTGGATTTGAGTGTTGTGTTGATTCATTTTGAGGAGGCAGGAAGTTGTGTGGGGTGTCCCAGTGTCACAGCTGTGTAAGGGCAGTCCCAGGTCCACAGATAATGTTTCCTGTTGTTGGAAATAACTGTTTCTTCTCTATCCTTCCAGAAATAGACAAAGTATCTCAAAGTAGAACTGAGATTGGATTTTGGCTGTGACGGAGAGGGAGCCATCAAAAGGTTCTCCATCTGGGAGTCCCTGACAGATGTGGGAGCTGTGGGGAGAGGAGGGGTTGCAGAGAAAGGCTCTGGGCCTGGTGTGGACATGTCACATGTGAGGTGACAGTGGCAGGACTTTCACATGCAGGCGGCCTGAAGCAGAAACAGGCAGTCTTCCCCTCCAGCCCTTCTCAGAAAACCTGTACGACCCTCCTCTAAAGGCATCTTCTCAGAGCCATGCACATGAGTATGTCCCGAGTGCAGAGCTGATGGGGACGCTGCATCCTCCCAGAGGTGAAAGATAATATCTTAAGGGCAGCTTGCCATTCTCCCTCCGGCCATTTCAGTGCGTGCCGTCCACCGGCTGCTGGAGCAGCGCCACCACGGTGTGGCCTGGCCCTCCACTGAGCACCCCATCACACACCTGGCCAGTGCCATCATCCGGCGCATCAACGAGGCCTCTGGGCTCTACCAGATGTTCAGTGTGCTGGCCGACGTGGTCCTGCTAAAGGAGTGAGTCTTCCTCCCTATCTCCTGCCCTCATCCCCACCAGCCTACCCCCCAACCCCGTCTTGCTCTTCGTTTCCTATTGCATGTGTGGAACAGCCCAGTGGTTCCTTCCTAAGATGGAGAAGGCTGGGGACTGGGGTGGCAGAGAGGGAGGGGACTTGGCTCTTCTGGGGAAAATCAACACCACAAGCTCCACTGACAGACAGATTGACAGACATGGGTATGACGGCAGCTTTGCCACTTTCCACCAGTGGGATCTGGGGCAAGTTAGTTAGCCTCTCTGAGCCTTTCTCTCATCTGCAAAATGGAGCTAATAGCATCGACCTTGCAGGGCTGTAGGAAGGAGTAAAGGTAACTGGTGGAAAGCATCTGGCAGTAAACACAGAAGCAGTGGCCTGCAACCATGACAGGTGACCACCTGTGGGGATTTACGAGCTCCTTGGGCCAGCCTTATCAATGAAACGATAAGCAGTGGATCACAGAGGTCACTGCCTTAGAAGGAAACCATCATGAGCAGGGAAGGGAGCAGGGCTGGGGTGGGGGCGGGGGAGTGCATGTTCTGAAAGGACAGGTGGCAGGTGAGAAGCCACAGAAGGAACAGCCTGGTCCAAAGCCCGTGGGCGCAGCAGCACACCAGGTTGAGGGACATGCAGGAAACTCAGGTGCTTGGAGCAGAACCTCCCTCATCACCCTTGACTCCTGTCTCTCACACCCATTCACCACACTCACACCACCCACTCTACCTTCCAACTGTGTTTAGAGCCTGCCTGCCTCTCAGTAGCCCCACCGCTGCCACCTTAGTCTGGACCCCGAGAGCATACCCCTCCTGCACCGATACAGCAGCCCCTCGCCTTGGCCCCGGTGGTCTGCTCTCAACATGCTGGCCAGAATGGTTCTTTTAAAACTTGAGTCACTTGGAATTCACCCTTTTCAATACCCTCTGAGGGCCCTCAAACCCCCCTTCCCGGGCCTGGAGACTTTGCCATGGTGGCACACATGGCCTGCCTTGATCTGCCCCTTGCCGTCGGCTCCACTGGGGCCCCACAGGCCTCCTTCCTGTCTCTGGAACACGCCGAGGCCTTCAGTCCCTCGTAGGGTTTCTCTGTCACTGTCTCAGCCTGGCTTACCCTTTCCCCCGATACCCATTCAGGTTCCTCCAGGCTTTCTGACACCTGTAGGTCTAGGCTCTAGTATTATTCAGGTGAGATGCTCGGATCTGATTAGAGTCTGTATGCTGTCTGATGGCTGCTTCTAGGAAGGCGAGGTGGCGGGCGCGCACCACACACATGCACACACCCCCTCGTCACCTCTGCCGAAGGACCCAGGGTCTCACCCCCATCGTGTGCCCCTGTCCCCAGGAACGCCACCATCTTTGAGTATCTGGAGGAGTTCCCCATGCAGATGCTGGCGCAGCTGGAGACAATCACGGGAAGGAGGGCGAGGCACGGGCTGTTCGTCATCAACATGGAGTATGGCCGGAACTACTCTGGGCCCGACAAGGACGTCTTCTTTTCTGACCGCTCTGTTGGGCACATGGAAGACGCCTGGCTGTCCAACTTCCTCCATCCTGTCATCTACTACTATAGGCACCTCCCCACCGGTGAGCTGGGGCCCTCCTCAGACCCCAGCACCATTGGGCCTTCATGCGGTACCCTCAGCTGATGAAAGGGGGAACACCGGGGGCCCTGCCCAGAGCCTCAGTGGAGCAAGCGGTCTATGAATGATAAATGCTGTTCCCAGATTCTGGCCCACAGCAGGCCACACTTGGAGTGCTGTGGTCGCCTCCAGTAGTAAGAGGGGCAGTGTCATCGCTGTGTCCAGAGAAGGCTGGCCTTGCAGTGAGGCGGGGGACAGAGGGTGGTCTGGAGACTGACTCTAGGAGGAACAGTGAAGGGACAGGAGCAGGTCAGCACAGGAAGGAAGCAGGAGAGCTGGGCGCTATTCCCAGGGTCGTCCTTCCCTCGCTGTGACCTTATACCATTATGTAACCCCTCTGAGCCTCAGCTTGCTCATGTGTGAAATGGGGTGGCAGTGATACCTTCCGTGTAAGAGGAGAATGGACAAGATAACACAGAATGCCAGCACAGTGCCCTATACAGACTGGTTACCGACAGATGGCCAACCTAGGGAACACGACTCCTGCCTTTGAACTTGACATGTCACCTGGAAGAGGATGATCTAAAATTAGGGGTCACTCCAGAGGGCAGAGGTAGTGTCAGCGGGTAGAAGTGACAGGAACCCGGGTTCACACTCGTAAGCAGCAGCTCATCCTGACAGCTGCTGAGGCTGGGACAGGCCCCTTTGCAGTTTCCTGGTACGGGAATGGTCATGGCTGGGTGCCCTGTGATGGGGACACACACCAGATAGGAAACTGGACTAGAGGGGCCCTAAGACCCCTTGGAGGCAGGACCCAGAGTCCACTCACAGAAAGACCAGTTTCAAAGCAGCCGCAGCAGACTTCAGTCCATGCAAGTCTTAGAAGCAAACCAAGTTCAAGAGACTGGTCTCAGCTCCTCCCCCCGACAGCACAGGAGTGAGTCTGGCCTAGTCCCTCTCTTTCACATCAGCCTTTCAGACATTTGGAAGGACAGCTGAACCGGCTGCCCAGAGAGGTGTCAGGAAGGCCGAGCAGAAGAGGATGGGGGGGCGGCACCCGGGCTGCAGCTCTGGGAAGGACTCTGACGTGGTGCCCTCTCCTCCCCACAGAGCAGGAGGTGAGGTTCCGCCCAGCGGGCTGGCCGCTCCCACGGCCCTCGGCCCTCCACCACGTGGTGGAGGACTTCCTGACGGACTGGACAGCCCCGGTGGGGCACATCCTGCCTCTGAGGCGCTTCCTGGAGAACTGTTTGGATACCGATCTGCGAGGCTTCTATGCAGGTAGGTTAGGTTCCCAGGAGGACAGAGGGGCTGAGCTGGAGTGTGAAGACGACCAGGTAGATCGGCGCCCTGTGCAACTTTCAGACACACCTCTGGAAACCCACGCCCGAGACGTCTGTCTCCTACGACAGGAGGCCTCGATGTTCACAGAAAGCCCTCCCTGTATGGCACACCTGCGCACACTAGCGCTTCCCAGGTAGCACTAGCGGTAAAGAGCCCACCTGCCTATGCAGGAGATATAAAAGACGCGGGTTCTATCCCTGGGTCTGGAAGATCTCCTGGAGAAGGAAATGGCAACCCACTCCCATATTCTCACCTGGAAAATTTCATGCTCAGAGGAGCCTGGCGGGCTGCAGTCCATGGGGTCACAAAGAGTTGGACACGGCTGAAGCGACTTAGCGTGCATGCATGCAGACACTGAGTAAAATGTCTTCTTTAAAGAACTTACAGGAAAATATGGGACCCACCCCCCAGAAGCCAGACACTAAGAAAAGCACAGAACACATACCGGAGAAGGTGATACCTGCTGGCCATCGGGGGTCTAGAGCCTGCATAACTAACCAGCACATGGGGATGGAAAGGCGAGGCTGGAGCGGGGTAGGAGGTCTGTATCTGCGTACTTAGTCGCTTGCTCATGTCTGACTCTTCTATGACCCCATGGACTGTAGCCACCAGGCTCCTCTGTCCATGGGATTTTCCAGGCAAGAATACTGGAGTAAGCTGCCATTTCCTTATCCAGGGGATCTTCCCAACCCAGGTATCAAACCCGCGTCTCCTGTGTCTCCTGCATTGGCAGGCGGGTTCTTTACCACTAGCACCCTAAGGGAAGCCCTAAGAGGTCTGTACAGAAAACAAATAAAGCCCGGGTCTTAGTGGGTAAGCTAGGAGCCAGAAAGCACTCCCAGGAGAGACAGAGGAGATGCAGGATTTTTGGCTCTGTGTAGTGCAGGGAGAAAAACCTCCCTTGAGAATTTCCATCCACTAGGCCTCATTTGTATGAGTTTGGGGCCAAAGTTCACACTGTCATCTTGGTGCAGAAATCACAGGCATCAGTGCAAGTCTTCTGTGAGGAAACAGACTTTAAAGCCAGACCTTGAAGAATTCCCACAGATAAAAGTTCTCTGGAACATGAACTCCCAAGCAGAAACCACTAACACACAGGAACTCAAATGACCATGCGAGTCAATAAAACAAGTGTTGGATCAAACCTACAGGGAATATATGAATTGGAGTGGTCAGAGAGAAAATGTAAAGTATGTATAGACTCTGAATAAATAAAAAAGGGATTACTAAAAACAGAATGAAAGGATGTTGAATGGGCAATTTTGAGAAAGGTCCAAGTAGAACTTCTGGAAATAAAAGTATCAATTTGTAATTAGAAACTCAGTGTCAAGGTTAGTAGCACATTAGACATAGATGAAGGGAAAATTGGTGAACTGGAAGACAGCTCTGATAGTCGAACCCAAAGAGGGACTTGGGAAGAGAAGTTTCATGATTCAGAGGCAGAACTGACCGAAACAAGCCAGATTCTTGTCTTTTTTTTTTTTTTTAACTCTCCAAATTACTAGGATAGCCACTTTTTTTTTCTGTTTAGCAAATATCTGTTGAAATAGTGGTTGCATATCCGGCACTATTTGTATCAGACCAGGTTAGAGATGATTAGTCCTTGGCCTACAGGTCAGAGAGCAAGAGTCCTTCAGCTCACCTTGAAATAAAAAATGTATGTACCAGGGGAGATGGCCTAAAACAGTACTTGAAGTTAACAGTCTAAACATATGTAGACGCTACAGCAGGGGTAATTCAGAGAGCAGAGCTAAAGCAGCTTTGAAGTACTAGCATCCTGCAGACATCAGCTCTGACTGTATGCTTCCATAGGAAATTGTGCATTGAAGGTCTAGAGACCTCAACTGCAAAATGCCTATTTCTTGAGGTTTCAGGAGTACAGAGATGCTGGTACCTTTTAGGGGGTGTATTCTGGCCCTGAGTCATGGGTCCCACCAGTCCATCACCACAGGCCCTTTGAGTCTCCTGGCTCCTACCTCTTAGATATACTCAACAGTACAAGTCACCAGGTGTCACTGCCTTGAACTTGCAAGACTCCTCCCCCAAAGGGCTAGCTAGCAGAGGTGGGCTTCCCCTCCATCCCTTTAACACATGTGCAGCTGCTAGTTCTGGCCCCAGATCTGCTGGGCTTCTCTGCCCCCTGTCCCTGCAGAAGGGGTGACGTATGTCATTGGAGGGGTTGCTTGCCAAAAGGCTGCCTCACTGGCCCCACTCCATCCTCTCCCATGTCTGCTGTCTTCCCTGTTCAGAGAGGGTGGTTGTGGCCCATTCTGCCAAGGGCCCTCTGTACTGGAAGTCAGAGAGAAGGTGGGAAATACTGTTCCTGTAGCACTTCCAGCCTGATCACTCGTGTGAGCCTTATAGCACCCTTTATAATGTGCCTGTTTACCGAGACAGGAGGTCAGGATGGTTCTCTGACACACTATCTTCCCATCCTGTCTCTAAAGCCCGCAGAAGCCTGAGCCCACATCTGTTTAATCCTTTGCTTTTTTTTTTAATTTAAAAAAAATTTTTATTTATTTTTGGCTGCACTGGGTCTTTGCTGTGCATTGGCTTCTCATTGTCAGAGAGAAGGTGGGAAATACTGTTCCTGTAGCACTTCCAGCCTGATCACTCGTGTGAGCCTTATAGCACCCTTTATAATGTGCCTGTTTACCTTTTTATTTATTTTTGGCTGCACTGGGTCTTTGCTGTGCATTGGCTTCTCATTGTGGGAGCTTCGTTTGTCACAGAGCACAGGCTCTAGGCACCCGGGTTTCAGTAGATCCCAGCCCCCAGGGTGGCTCCTGGAACAGAAGACCAAGGGGCTGCTCCTGAGTAGGTGAGCTCCCCCCTCCCCCGCCAGTGGCGCCACACACAGCAGCATGCAGGCCCCTATCTCTGGATGCTGGGCCATCTCTTTGGTTTGCTTTCCTTTGGAGCTTTCCCCCCCATAATGTCAAGGCGGCTCCTAGTCTTAGAACTTCAGGGAAGGATGGGGTCCACGGCTACCCAGGTCAGACATGAGATACCAAGAACAGTCGGCCCCCAGGCTCAGGGGCTGGAGGGAAGCAGTGAGGCCACTGGGGCATCAGCAGCCCCTCCCCTTGCACCTGGCCCCATAGCCCTCAGCCCATCTCCTTTTACTTTTGTGCAGAGTCCTGTTTCCTGTTCGCCCTAACACACCAGAAGCTCCCGCCCTTTTGCCAGCAGGGCTACCTGAGAACGCAGGGTCTCGTGGGAACTGAGAGCCTCCGTCAGCATGGCGTGGAGAGCGGGCTCCTGTGGGACTCTGCCATCATGGGCCAGCGCCAGGGGGCCAGCGAGCAGCAGCCTGGCAACCACAGGCCAGGAGGGCACCCTCTGGCTCCAGGGCCTCCGGTCTCACCTTTCAACAGCAACAAGGAGGAGCTCTGATGGGCGGCTGCTCCCACTAGGGTCACAGTCAGCCTTCCTCTTCCCCGCAGTTTCGTGCTCCCACGTGATTGCCAAAGACCCCCCTCAGATCATCGCGGTGACTGCACCAAAGCCACACGGAGGGCACAGACGGGCTGAAGGGCGGCCACACAGTGGTCTTCCCCTCCTGTTTGGTTCAGGGATTTCTGGGAAGAGGAGTCCAGGGACAGCATCTTCTGCCAGATGGAAGGGAGCCGCGTTCCACGCCAGACTTGTCTGCAAGCCAGCCACCACGAGCACCAGGCTGGCCTCAGCTCCATCCCCATCAAGTGCCCAGTGTTCCTCTTCCGAAGGCCCTAGATTCCGCCTACCCGTGGAGCGTTTCACAAGTGCAATCCACCCTCATCTTCATACGGGTTGTAGCAGGCACTTTAAGACAAAGGCTCTAAGGTCCTCCGCCAAGTGGGGCAGGTGGGGCTGTTACCCCCTGATGGAAACACCAGCTAAGGAAGGTCAGGTGATCCCAGGGGTCCCAGCCAGGAGTCTAGGAAGCCCTAAGGCCCGCCCTGCTTCACCATACTGCCTCTCCCCGCCCCATCTCTGCTTTCAGAATCCCAGTTGGGACAGAGAGAGGACAGCTCCCAGCAGGCCGTCTTATCTACGCGGGTCTCTGCCAAGCTGCTCTCTCCCCAGGACCGCCCTCCCTGACTTGCCTTCCCACTCTGTGTTCTCTCTCTCATCCTACTCCCCTGCCCTTTGGCATTCCGAACAGCGCCTCCTCGCCTCTGCCCTGCCAGATCAGGTTTTGTGAAATGATCCCCGTGCTGGCTATCAGTGGGGATTCTCTTGGAGGGGATTCACCCCACTGTTCCATACAGAGCCCAGCTCAGCATGGGCAAGAAATCATCTATAAATGAGTTTGTAAGATAACGATGATGAATGTAGTTTCTGGTTCCCTGAGCTGTTCTGGCTTTTTTATTGTCCCTCCTCACCAGGAATCTGTCCCTTCTTACTCTCTCATCAGGTATTTGAGTCCCATTGATGAGTAAGCCATGGGAAAGCATTTGTACAGAAAATAATCATGGTGGTTTCCTCAAAAGCCCGGGATCACAGGTGATAGCTTTCTCACTGGTTCTTACCAGTAAGTCCTTCATGTGTCCACTGAGAATGGTAGGGACACAAGCTTTCCGGATCCACTGCCCTTTACTTGGAACAGCTTCTTCATGATGGCCAGGTCCAAAATCCCTTACCCCCAGCACCACTGTCTGTGCTCCAGGTGTTTGCAGTCAGAACAGTGAGACTCCAAAAGCCTGAGCCTGTCAGGGAGGAGGTGTTTACCCCATGGCAAGACGTGGCATAGTTTACAGAGAGCTGAAACTTCTCATTGAAGGGTCTCTCCCTAATCCCAGGCTGTTGAATTTGCTGTATTTCATACTGTTTACAGGTAAACCAAAATTGGGTCCCATTAGTCCACCCTTCCTTTTCCTAAACTTTTTTAAAAAAATAAATCTTTTGGGATTTCTAGTGGTCCAGTGGTTAAGACTCCACACTTCCAATGCAGGAGGTGTGAGGGTTCAATCCCTGGTTGGGGAACTAAGATCCTACATGCCTCTTGGCATGGCCGAAAAATAAAATTTAAAAAACAAAAAAAACAAGTATGAAAATAAATAATTAGGACTGTACCCATATTATCAAATCCTGTTACACACATCTTGCCTACCCAGTTACTAAAGGCTGGCTGAGCCCCCAGTTCGAGGTGCTGTAACGAATAGTTGACTGACGCCTAAGTATGTGACATCTGCTACTCTTCCTGTCATGTGCCAAGTTCTTAATTCCATCAAAATATCACCAGCCTTATTTGTGTTTAATAAGACATGGTTCAGCTCTTACTCAGCCAATGAGACACACATTCCCTGGTATTTTTCCTGTAAATTAATAGTTGGCTTCAGAGAACTACTTTTTCCTATGAAGATCATTGCTGCATTGGCTGGAGTCCTGTCTACATCTTGCTTTCTTCTAGCAACCCACCCTCCCCAGCCTCCGGGGCCTTTTTTGTAAATCCTTGCCCCTGAGTGCCCATTGCCTTAGGCCTGGCATCTTTGCTGTCGGCTATCTTCCTCTTGTGTTGTATGGATTCATGTGTCCTACTTCATTGCCTCAGTTTCTTTCCTTGTCAAGTTTAGACAGCCATCTAGCAGATCTTGTTGTTTCCAGCCAGATCAAGTCCTTCTCCTAGCTAAGGCCTGACTTCATCCATTCATTCTTTTTGAAAATATTATAAAGTTACACATGCAAAACAGACAAATCAGTGAAACAATAGGCCAGAAGTAGAGCCTGTTCTAAGATGGAGGTGTTTTTTAAAGAGAATCACAAACCAGTGGAAAAGATGGTACAGGATTGTGCAATAAGTGATGTTAGACTGGAACTTTCCTGGTGGTCCAGTGGTTAAGACTGAGTTCCCATTGCAGGGGGTACAGGTTCAATCCCTGCTCAGGGAACTAAGATCCCACATGCCCTGGGCATGGCCAAAATTAAGTAAATAAAAATGATGTTGGACCAATGGATTACTAACTTGGGAAAGAAAATCAATCTCCTTTAGACCCCTATTTCATATTATACTTCAACATTAATTTCAGGTTAATTTTTCAAAGCCATATAGAAACTAGAGGTGAAAAGGAGGTACTACAATAAAAGAAAAGACTTTTCCAAGTTTAGAACCAATAGAGTAATTCCCCAGGGGAAAAGGTTTAACATTTCTAGGTACAACCATCCTGCCTGACTAATATGCCTATTTTAAAGAAAATGATTATTAAAAGGCAAAAAGCATGGGCAAAAATAATTACGGCAGAAAACAACATACATAAAAATAAATAATAAGCAAATTATCTTTTATATTAAGAACAATGAAATGAGAAAAATGGAGAATAGTTACGTAAACTATGGCACATTCAGCCCATGAATATTAAACAGCCCTCAAAAACTCTAAAAAGTGGTAAAAGACTACATAATATTGATACAAGTACATCTGTGACAAAATTAAGTGAAAAGAATCAGAATATGAAAGTGTAGTTCCAACTGCTTGTAACTATAAAAATAGAAAAACCATATACAAGGGAAACTGTGGAGGTATTAGGTTTGCAGAGTTTTTTTTTTTTTCCTTTTTCCTCTTTTGCCCAAATTTGGGTTTATACTCCATGGTGAAATAAATTCATTTATTTTTAAAAATCATCTCTGTTTCTGAACTGTGAAGTTGCTGGGGGCAGGAGGGGCTGGGAGCCCTTGGCAGGGCATGTACTCTGCCCCGTGGTCCAGATGGTGCCACGGGTGTCATCTGTTGGCCGCAGTTGAGAAGACACTGCATCAGTGTTGGAGGAGAAAATGTGCTCTGTCTAGGGAAGGGAACTTTAAAAGTGGTGTGTGCTCCTCTCCTAGACTCTTTGGACAAATAGGCCCAGATGGACAACACCAGTCTCTGGAAGAATCTTCCCTCCCAAGTGACAAGAAAATGAATGTAATCTCAGGGTTAATATGAGCCCCAAATTTCTTTTGTGTGACAAAAATGGGGTGTCCCTAAAGCCTTCCTGGAAATCAACTCACCAAGAAATGAATTTGTCTGCTAAGCTCATCATAACACCTAATCATTCACTGAGTATTTACTATATGCCCAGAACTGGTGTGGTGATTTTAAAGGTATGTCCACAAATTCTTGGATACTTCTCCCCCAAAGAGGTAGAGCTTAATCCCTCCTGTTGGGTGTGGGTTGGACTTTGTGATTCATTTCCAGCAAATAAAATGCAGCAGAAGTGACAAGATGTCATTCAAGATTAGGGTATAAAAAAGACTGTGGCATTTATCTACCAAGAAGCTGCTTTCTGTCTGTCTCTAGGAGTCCCTTGCTCTGGGAGAGGCCACCTGTCATGTTGAATTTGAAAGGACATCCAGTGTGGAGCAGCCCATGCGGCAAGGAACCAAGCTCTGCCCACAGCCATACGAGTGAGCCTGGAAGCACACTCTATCCCAGTCCTACCTTTGGTTGACCTCAGCTCTGGCCAGCAACTCACACACAGCCTCATGAGAGACCCTGAACCAGAACCACCCAGCCAGAATCAGGAAGTAACACATGCATGAAATAGCTTGCTTTATTAATTATCACCACAACCCTAAGAGGTACTAGATGTCACTCTTCCCATTTTACAGACAAGGAACCTGAGGCGAAAGCCCATTACACAGCAAGTCAGTGATGCGGTGTTTCAAAAATCCACCTCCTCTGAGCCATCCTCTAAATATTAAACCATTAAAGCAACCATCTCCTTATCACGGTCCCTATGGCAGAAAGTGAAGAGGAACTAAAAAGCCTCTTGATGAAAGTGAAAGAGGAGATTGAAAAAGTTGGCTTAAAGCTTAACATTCAGAAAACTAAGATCATGGCATCTGGTCCTGATGGCATCACCGACTTGATGGGCATGAGTTTGAGTAAACTCCGGGAGTTGGTGATGGACAGGGAGGCCTGGAGTGCTGTGATTCATGGGTTTGCAAAGAGTCGGACACGACTGAGCAACTGAACTGGACTGAACTGATGAGATTCCTTCATGTGGACACTGGGTTATAAGACGTCAAGAGACCAAACAGTTACCAAACCTAGGAAAGTGTGCCCACAGGAAGGAAGAGAAGTGTTGAAGTGCTGATTCTACAAAAGTATCCTCAAGAAGAGTATGAATCCAGTCCACCAAACCAGACATCTTGTGATTCACATAGGATGGGCTGACTCAAGAGGACCGCTCTGGAGTCCAGAGTATCAGCCCTGATGAGGCTTCAGCCTCAGGATCCTCGGTTCTCTGATCAGTTACAACATCAGCCCCAAAAGCCACGCTGGATTCTTCCCTAGAAAAGCAACCAGAGCCTGCATCATTTCCCTACAGATGTTTGTATTTTTTAAATATGGTAAAAATGCTGACTGGGGAAAGGTTTTTGTTAGGCTGTGGGCTTTAAAAAAAGCATTGACTTCAGTCTGGCATCCCAGATGGAATGTAAATCTGCTACAAAGTAAGTCGATGGGCAGATAAATGAGATGCTTTAGCCCAAGTATTTAATCCAAGTACATCACACGACTGATCCATCAACCCCAAAATAAAAAATGGCATGCAACAGAGGTATTTAAGCAGGGAAGAAAGGACCAACAGACTGTCTCCTCCTCCCTCAAGTCTACCTGAATAAGACTGATTTGCCTGCTCTTCTGGAGAAGGCCCCAAGCTTAGTGCCAATTGCAAAACTCTTCAGAAGTCTGTCACCTGTTTTTTCAACCTCTTTGAGATATTCCATCTCAGACCAGTCTCTCAAATCATTCCAAATTATATAAATTAATTAGATGCAGAAGAGTGCCACCAACAGAAAAAAATGGCAATGTAGTATCAAAATGTTCACAGTGTGTTATAATCCATCATTGTAGGTTAGAAATAGAGCAACTACAAAAATGTATAAGATAAGCCCCTTATGTTTAAGTTTAAAATAAGTCAGTCTACCAGGAGAAGAGGCACCCTGAAGCCTCTGCTGTGAGACACTGTGGTAGAATAAATATGGCCAAAAATTCTACAACAGGACTTCCCTAGCAGTCCAGTGGTTAAGGCTCCAAGTTTCCACTGCAGGGGGTGGGGGTTCAATTCCTGGTTGGGAACTAAGTTCCCACATGCCACGTGGTACAGCAAAAAATAAAATTAACAATGATAATAAAAATTATATAACTCCTATCAAGATATGAGGTCTGGGGGTCTTCCCTGGCAATCTAGTGGTTAGGACTCAGTGCTTTTATTGCCAGGGGCCCCAGTTTGATCCCTGGTGGGGGAACTAATTTCCCACAAGCTATACAGTGCTACCAAAAAGAAAAAAAAAAAAGACTAAATATTTACAATAAACATTACCTCTTTAAAGAGTATTTACACACTATGTTTTATTTAAAGATAATATGAAAGATACAGTAGAGCTAAGGGGCTAAGCATACACCTCCTGGGGCCAAGTCTGCCTGGGTGAGTCCCAGCCCTACCATTTGCTTGATTCATGATCTAGGGTAAGTTATTTATCCTTTCAGGATCTCAGTTTCTCTCCTATAAAATATAAAATGCAACTGTAACAGTATTTTGCTGTAAAAGGTGACTAATAATAGTATTCTGCTTACTGTGAGGATAAAATGAGTTAAAATATGAAAAGTGCTAGAACATTTGGAAATCATGTGTTAAGGACCACAGATGTGCTGGCCATTATTTCCTTATTATGAAAGTTCTTAGCCTTTCTATGGAGTAAGCATTGTTAGAACTTCATACAAATAAATAACGATGCCAGAAGGGTTGACCAAAGTGCTCAAGGTCAGGCAGTGGGTCATGGGCAGAGCTGGTAAAGAAGGATGTGATTCAAATTGGGGCCTAGGGCTTATTTTTCTACCCTACGGCTGCTCTTGTTCAAACTCGGGGAAGAGGAATGCGCCACAGGGCGAAGGAAGCAGAGCATTTGGCCAAGAAGAAAGGTCCTTGTCTACGATCCTTCCACAGCATCTCACAGCTGCAGGTTTTGCCCTGCCAGACAGAATCTGAGCCACCAGACCTGACCAGATAGGAACATGTGAGGAGCCTCACTCCAACAGCAAGTGGAATCTAGAATGAGCCCTGGTGCCCAGCCTGTGTGTGTCTCCTGAGGGCACAGGAGTGAGCAAGGGAGGTGATAACATATACCACCCCCCACCACCACATCACAGCCATGACACTCCAGACCTACCGTCCCAGGAGGGCACTCCTGCCAGTCTAGGAGTTAAGGGTTCTGTCACTGTTCCAGGCTTGTCTTCATATTCAGAAAGGGGTGAGGGGACATTGTCTAATTGCTGGAAATGTGACAGAACATGAATCACATGAAACCAGCTTCTTGAATTACAAAACATAAGTCACAATTATAATTGTCCTGCAACAGCGCTTTAAAAAATACACAAAAGGCAAACAACAAAGATACTCCAGGAGCAACACCTCCTGAAGAGAAACTCACTATCAGCTTGGACTGTGACCCACCATCTCTGTCTCCTGTGTTTTAAGGTGCCTCCCTCCAGCCATGAAATCCCCAAACACATTACATGGTCACTGAGAGGCACCTGGACCAGCCTTGACCCCTGAAGACTTGAGGTAGCTGTGATCCCTTGACTGTGGCCAGCCCTGGGGGAGGCTGCAAGACCATACCGCCACCGTGTGGGCGCCTCTCCTCAGAGCCACGGCTGAAAACTGCTGCTGCCCACCTGCCTCACCACCAGCTGCGAAGGTTTAAGTCCAACACTGCCCTCTGGTGCCCCAGATTGGCCGGCTGGTCCTAGGAGTGGGTGGGGAAGAGGTTAAATTAAATGTCTCAGGTTAAAAAATAAATAAATAAATAAATAAATAAATAAATAAAGTCTCAGGTTAAATTAAATCCTTGCTAGGGGAAGTACATCACCTTTAAGCTTCCACCTCCTACTATATGGATGGCTCTGGACAAGATACCTAACCTCTATGTGGCTCATTTTCTCTAAGACAGGGACTGTAACAGTAACAACCTTACAGGGTTGTAGGGTAAATGAAGGGTGTGAATACATGAAGGGTGTGAATTCCGAGCGCTCGCCCCTCCCGTCCTCTTTCCGCCATCTTTCCGTGCCGCCAGAATGGTGCGCATGAATGTCCTGGCTGATGCTCTGAAGAGTATCAACAACGCCGAAAAGAGAGGCAAACGCCAGGTGCTTATTCGGCCGTGCTCCAAGTTCATCGTCAGGTTTCTAACAGTGATGATGAAGCATGGTTACATTGGCGAATTTGAAATCATTGATGATCACAAGGCTGGGAAAATTGCTGTGAACCTCACAGGCAGGCTAAATAAGCGTGGAGTGATCAGCCCCAGATCTGATGTGCAAGTCAAAGATCTAGAAAAATGGCAGAATAACCTGCTCCCATCCCGTCAGTTTGGTTTCACTGTACTGATAACCTCAGCTGGCATCATGGACCATGAAGAAGCAAGACGAAAACATACAGGAGGGAAAATCCTTGGATTCTTTTTCTAGGGATGTAATATGTACAAATAAAATGCCTTAGAGGACAAAAAAAAAAAAAAAATACATGAAGGGTGTTCAGAACAGTGTCAGGTGTTTGGTAACTCTTCAATAGATCGGTAGCTTTCAAATCCTTTGACCATGATCCACAGTAAGAAATACATTCTTTATCACAACCTAGGACACACAGATATGTTGACATAACACCAAGAAATATTTCACAAAATAATACTTAAAATATGCAATGTACTCTGAAAAAGTCTGATTTTCTTCTATTATTTTTTTGGCTGTGTCACACAGCATATGAGATCTTATGAGACCAGGGGCTGAACCTGCACCCTCTGCAGTGGAAGTGAGGAGTCTAAACCACTGGACTTCCAGGGAAGTCCCATGATTATTTTTTTAAAGCTGATCACAACCCACTTCCCTGGTGGCGCAGATGGTAAAGAATCCATCTGCAATGTGGGAGACCTGGGTTCTATCCCTGGGTTGGGAAGATCCCCTTGAGAGGGAACAGCTACCCACTCCACTATTCTGGCCTGGAGAATTCCGTGGACTGTATAGCCCATGGGGTCGCAAAGAGTCGGACGTGACTGTGTGACTTTCACTTTCACAACCCACTAAATTGAATTCTCAAACCCACGGGTGGCTCATATACCACAGGTTGAAAAAACACTGCAATACATAAATAAGAGGGCAGAAGCTTTACTCTAGCTCAGACTGCCAGTCCTAGCTTCCTTCTCTCTCCCTCACATCTGAGCCAGGGCCGGGCCAGGTCAGCTCTGGCTGAGCAGGTGAACCACCATAGAGCTGAGAAACCCCTCTGTAGCCCACTGTGCATGCAACCCTCTCCCAAGGTCTCACCCTGCAGGTGGAAGAAGACACCTTTACTCATCAGGCACTAACAACGTGCCAGGCCCTTGGCTCCATCCTTCTTGCAACCTCACAGCCCTCTAAGAGGAAGGCATCATTCTTCCCATTTCTCAGCAGAGAAGCCTGAGGTCAATGGAGGTGCAGTGACTATGGAGTGAGGATAAACAGGACTGGTCCTCCTTTGGAATTCAGGATGTGAATTAACCAGGGAAATTGGCCTTCTAGAAAATGCTGTGGAAATGCTAAACAGGGTTAATTAGAAGGACAGGGAAGCCTGATGAGCTGCAGTCCACGGCGTCACAAAGAGTCGTACATGACTTAGCGACTGAACAAAGAGGCCCTGGAAGATAAAGCACTGGAGATACAGAAAAACAGAAATGAAAACAGTCAGGATGGGAGTGCCCCTGCCAGATGGCATCTGGCATTAACAGCAACAGCTGCACCAACGGACGCTGACCTCAGGAGAGGCAGGGGGCCTGGGGTCCCACTATAGATCACCACTGTTGGCTCCAGTCCTAGGTGGAGGCAGAGGCAAAAACAAGAGGTCAGACAAGGTGGAGGAGACCATGCCTGCCCATGCCCTCCCCTGGTCTTCCGCCCACAACAGACAAGAGACTCTATTTAGTGGAAGGCTGACCAGGGAAAGTGGGCCTGTTCCAAGGAGGTCATCACCCCATCCCAGAGGAAGATCCCTGCGCAGCTGTGGCTGTGGCCCTGCCTGCCTGGGGAGTCAGCCAGTGAACCTGCCAATTGGACAGAGAACAAATAACAGTGTGATGTGGCCAAGATGAGCTGGAGGTAAACACAGCAATGACTTTGCAAGAGCACGACCAGCCCATGCATTGTGGTAGGGAAAATCGGATCTGGAGTCAAAAAGGTATGATTTGGGTCCCTGCTCTTTGTTCATGGAACACATATTCACTGAGCACCTACTATGATGATCCAAGCCCCAAAGTCAGCATGTTGGTGGTGTAGTGGTGAGCACAGAGTTGCCTTCCAGGGATTCCCAAATGGCTCAGTGGTAAAGAATCCACCTGCCAAGGTAGGAAAGGCAGGTTCAGTCCCTGGGTCAGGAAGATCCCCTAGAGGATGTAATGGCAACCCACTCCAGTATTCTTGCAGGGAAAATTCCATAGATGGAGATGACTGGCGGGTTCTAGCCCATGGTGTTGCAAAAGGCGGACACGACTGAGCACACAAGCACAATACACAGCTGTATTCCAAAGTGAGCAATGGAGAGACGGAGACCACCAGGAGCTGACGGCACAGTGAGTGAGGAATAAACAGTAACAATCTCGAGCACTGAGTGCGGTGACTGATAGATGCACAGGGGCTGTGGAAGCTCAGTGGAGGCAATTTAACCCCACTCAAAGAGGATCAGGAATGTGTCTCCAGAGATGGTGTCTAATCTGGTAGCTGGCAGCATTTCCTCAGATGGACAGTAGAGGGAAAAGCCTCCAGTCATTGGGAGTAGTAACTACACAGCACAAGTATAGAAGAGAGAGTTAAGCAAACTATGTAATTATGATTCCCACTCGCTGGAGTATAGATTGAAATGGAGGCGTGAGAGATGGGGCTCTGCAAATTTAAATGGACCCGCCAATTTTACCTGCTTTTTAGATGGACCCACCAATCTACCTGCTTCACAACCTTGGGCAACTCATAACCACTCAGACTGTGAACCATTCCCTGGGATATCAAAAGACACACAGTTTAATAAGCATCTATGGCACCTTCTCTGTGAGTCAGGCACTGTATCAGGTTGGTGCTGGGCCTATGGAAATCCCTACAAATCCCTACTCTCAGGAAGCACATGATCTCATGGAAGACAGACACTGTGCAACATGTTAAAGTTCTGGACAAAGCACCAGGGAGGAGGAGGCAAGAAATGCTGCTCAAAGAAGAGGTGATGAGTAGGTATTCTACCCAGTGGACAGAGGGGGGAAAAAAAAAAATCAAATTAAGCAAAGGCAAGGAGGAAGGAAAAGGCACTGATGTAGTCACAGAACAGGTCATAAGGTAAGGTACAGGGTGCAGGAGAGACAAGGAGCGACTATGACACTAGCCTGGGACACACGTGCCAAAACCCCTGTTGTCCATGACAGTGACAATCGATGTGCAAGCAAGGCCCAGGCCCAAGCAGGTTCACAGGTCATCACACTTTACGTGGGGCCTCAAAGACAAGCGCTCCAAGTAACATCGCCATCGGGCATCTAGTCTGGGCCCAGTTCCCCAGCATTCCAAAGAGACGAGCTTGAGGGTCCTGGGTGGAGAATAAGTCCAGCCTTTCATGTCACATATTGGGAAACTGAAGCCCCCAGGGGCTAGGTGACTTGCCCCAAACCCTGAGGTTATACAGTCGCTTGTGACAGACAAGGGCCACAGAGCGCCCTCTTTGGCTCCCAAGAAGCACCGAGACAATGAGACAAAGGGGTGGTCGATGTTGTACGGCCGGCGGATAAGGTAAGTTTGCTAACTCCGGAACCACACCTCCCGCCCTTCTCTCCAGCCAGTACCTTGCGAACGCTGTCTCCTCCTTCCCTTCCTCTTCCGGCTCCTCCCCTCCGGCCGGCCTACCTCTTCCGGTTTATCCTCTGAAGACCCGCCCCTTCCGGTCTCTCCCCTAAAGAACTGCCCCCCTTCCGGTTTCTTCCTCCAGGAGCCCTTTTCTTCCGGTTTTCAACTGAGGCTCCGCCCCCGTCTTCCCTCGCGTTGCGGAGAGACTTGCTCTAGGTTGCCTGTCCCCGGAAGTGACGATAAAGGCCCTCCCCCTCAGGAAGTGACAACAGAAGTGCCCTTGACCGGTGCGTAGCGATCCGCTGTGCATCCCTCCGCTCTCGCTGCAGGGAGGTAGGAGGCCCTTGGGGTGGCTCGAGGTGGTGTTGCGGCTGAGGCACACTGCGGGCGTTTTCCTGTGCGGCCCAGCGGCCCAGCGGGCGGAGACCCTGGAGGGGGGAACCTGCCTTCCGAGGAGCCGGGGTCCCTGCTGGCGTCCAGTCCCAGTTCCCCAGTTCCTTCTACACACACGTCCCTCCTTTTTAGTTCCCCCACAATCCTGCCCCCACACCTCTTCGTTGCTCCCTGAATTGTTGTGGTTCCTCTTTCCTGATCCTTTGACAACCCTCTCTTTGTCTTTAATTTTCCATTAAAACACTTTTAAGAAGAGTAATCGATAGAATAAGAATTTCTCAGACCGCTTTGGGTTCCATTGTTGGCTCTCATTTAATAATGTACTTTGGTCATGTCACAATTTACCTGAGCCTCGGAATCCTTTTGAGTGATAGCATTATCGAAACCTTTTCAAGGTTGGTCTAGGAAGACTATAATGTATGTAAGATACCTGACTGTTGGCGGATGCTCTCTAAATATTGGTTCCTCCTCTTCTATTGTAAGTCCATAATATCCTGATTCGTTGGTTGTTGACCCAGTTTTCTCCTACTGTTTTTTTTTTAAAAAACCTGTGCTAGTTATTGATTCCTTCCCTTTGATTTTTTACTCACCTCTACTCCAGAAATCTTATGTATTATTTTCTGGCGTTTTACTTCTGGTCCTGCATCTTGAACCGCACCCCCCCCCCCATACGCCCACATGCCTTTTCATTGTTATTATTTCCTGATGTGTTAACTACCCCCCCCCCCCCCCATACGCCCACATACCTTTTCATTGCTATTATTTCCTGATGTGTTAACTGCCTCGTCCCCTCACAGATGGCTCAGCGACTTCTTCTGAGGAGGTTCCTGACCTCCATAATCTCCGGGAAGCCCTCTCAGAGTTGGTGGGCACCCCTTGCCTCCAGGGCCCTGCAGACCCCACAGTACAGTCCTAGTTACCTGGCAGGAACACCCAGCCAAGCCCGGTCTATATACACCACCAGAGTCTGTTCAACAACCTTTAACATCCAGGATGGACCTGACTTTCAAGACCGAGTTGTCAATAGTGAGACACCAGTGGTTGTGGATTTCCATGCACAGTGAGTCCTGGGGGTTCGTGGAAGACTGGGGTATCACTTATTCAGATATTTGTTTATTGAGAGGCTTCTGTGTCTCAGTACTCCATTTGATACTTCTCATACATGGACTCGGGGTCACAAAGAGTCAGATACAACTGAGTGAATGAACAACAACAACATATGTAGACTCATTACAAAGGTTGAGGAGACCCAATCCCTTCTCTCAAAGATTACATGTAGTTTATAGGAGACAGACTAGTAAACAGTCTTCAAAACTCCCTCTGTATATCTATGGCTGATTCATGTTGATGTATGACACAAATCAATGCAATATTGTTAAACAATTATCTTTCAATTAAAAATAACTTAAAAAAAACAACACAACTCACTATGATCAGTGCTTGGAAACACTTGTATTCTGTATCTCACTGCTGAGAGGCTCAGGTCATTTTCACCTTGAACCAAATCAGGAAAAACATGCCTCTAGCGTCATCTGACCTTTGGTGTATGCCAAACGTATACAGAACCCTGCAGAGAATTATTTTATTTTAACATCTTCCACCCAAACTGGAAAGGGCTGGCAAAAAGTTTTCAGTACCATTGCAGTGGTGCCCACACTTGCAGGCCATGAGCAGAGAGTTTCTTTCCAATGCTGTATGAGTTTGTTTTAGGGATATTTAAGTGTTTATGGTCTTCTGGTTGTTGGCCTGGCCTTCTTCATTTCTGGACCTTTGAGACATGGCTCAATGCCTGACTCCAAAACTACTGAACAAACCCCTCAGAATGGGGCAGCCTGAAAGGAACCAGTGTAGCCTGAGTTAAAAGTTCAAAGGCCTTCTGGACAAACCACTGACAGATTCTTTTGCTTTCTTTCCTATTCTTTTTCTGACTCACCATGTTACCTTGAGCAGGCCATGTGGTGGCCTTGTTCCTTCCTGTCTTCACTTGTGGTAGGCCATAAAGTCTTGCAGATTGGGTTTTTAGGTGTTGTGAGTTCATTTGTTGGAATCTCTGAATGTGAAGGGTTTTAAAGGCTGAGAATAAAATGGGAGTCACCAACAAGGATTCATGGAAGGCAGAGCTATCCTGCCGTCCTGGTTTCGTGAGCACAGCAGAGAGAGCTTCCAAAATGGATGAAGAGTGGGCTGATGCCTCTTCTTCCCCACCAAGAAAGCAGGGGGTGAGTTTGTTCATTAAGTGCCAGCCACTGTCCTTAGTGCCACATATTTAGGGATAACAACCTAGGCTTACCACTTGGGAGGGAACATCTATGTCCAGTGCAGTCATGGCAGTTGACCCAGGGCCTCAGGGATCATAGAGTAACCAGGGCCTCAAAGAAGACACTTGGAACACAGTCTTGGATGCAGTCGCAGACCTTGCACAATTCTCGTAACTTGTATGGGCCTCAGTTTCTTAGGAAGATATTTTTTTTTCCTTTGTAGGATTAAGAGTTCTGAGTAGGGAAAGCTGAGGAGGTCCTGGCGCTATGACTTGCATGTCATGAAACTCCCTAGCCACTGGTTTCTGTTACCTTAGCTCTGAGGCTGTGAGGTGTTTGAAGTAACTCCAAAGCTTACAAAGCACATTTATCCAGATTGTCTTAGTTAATTTCTCATCAGAGCTTTCACAGACACAGTCTCTTTCACATGAGGAAACTGAGGCTTCAGAATAATCAGCTGATTGGTGAGGAAGCCTGTCTTTGAACCCAAACCTTTTAACTTTAAATCCCATTTTCCTCTATACAACAGTTTACTTCTTTTAGGTAGAGTGAAATTACTGAAATAACCTTTCTAAGAGTCTTAGGATGAGGCCCATGTTATTAGGAATCCAGGACCTGTGAAAATTCCCTACTTACAGAGTCTCCTGTAATTAACCGGCATGTCAGCATTGCAGGTAAATAGTCACACACTGTAAGGAGAGGTGATGAGGGGCGAGAGTCCAGCAGAAAGACGTAGGACGGGGGAAGGTCCTAGAGGACTATAGTTCATTGGGCGAGTACTTCTGTGATGGGATGCTTCTTTCTCCCCTTCCAAGGTGGTGTGGTCCCTGCAAGATCCTGGGGCCCAGGTTAGAGAAGGTGGTGGCCAAGCAGCATGGAAAGGTGGTGATGGCCAAAGTGGATATCGATGACCACACAGACCTCGCCCTAGAGTATGAGGTATGGATCAGCAGGGCATTGCTGCAGGGCAACTGGTGGGGGTGCTTGGGGCCACGGGGTAGCTGGGAATGTCTTAGGGACCAGCAGGGAGTCAGTAGGGGGTTTCCTGATTCTTTCTAGAGCTCTCAGGGGTTTAGAGCACTTTGCAGCTGTGACTCCATTAATCCTCTGAGTCTCCTGTCTCTCTTCAATACTTTTAGGAACTGGGATATATGACCCCAAACACTGGGTTTTTCTCTGAGTCTCAGGAAGTTGATGGCCCTCCCTCATTCATGGATTCATCCATTCATCCCTGCAGTGTGCCAGGCATACATGATTCTGGCACAAAGATGAGCTCCTTGTCCCAAGGGGAGCAGGGAGGGGAGTAGACGGGACAAGGAATGCATCATGTTAGAGGGACCCTCTGAGTGGAGTCGTGAAGAATGCACAGAGAAGAAGGCAGGGCCAAGAGCACACAGACAAAAAGACGTGAGCTACTCTCCCGTGTTTGATTGGCTTGCCCATTTATTCAGCAGACATGTATCCAGAGTGCCTTCAATGCCAGGGCTGTGACTCGGGGCTGAGGATGCGGCAGTGAACAGAACTGACGGAGTCCCTGCCTTTGTGGAGCCTGAGTGCTAGTGTTTTAGATTGGGCATCCACAAACTTGTTCTCTAAAGGACAAGATGGTACCTGTTTGAGACTTTGTAGGACATCGGTCTCTGTTGCAAATGCTCACCTGTCTGGCAGCTCAAGGGTTGCCATAGAATCTAAATGAATGGGCACAGCCATGTGCCAGCAAAACTTCATTTACAAAATTCCAGGTGGCGGGTTTGACTTGTGGGCCACAGGTCACTGTTCCCTATTTCAGATAATAAGTGTCCTGGGAAAAAAGAAATCAGGAAGAGCAGGTGGGAGTGCTGGGCCTAGGGCAGGGAGGGTTTCCTTTTTTTAAAGGGTTGGGTAGGAACGGCCTCGCTGAAAAGCTAAACCATCTGAGCAGAGACCTGGAAGGAGTAAAGAATGAGCAATGCAGCTCTTTGGAAGTGGATTCTGGCAGAGCAGACATCTTTTACAAAGACGCTGAGGTCAGGGTCTCACACATTTGCTCAGAGAACATCAGGGCCTGCATGCCTGATGCAGAGTGGGCCGGAGGAGGAGTAGCAGGAAATATGTGGATGTGCGGCATCCTCTGGGCCGTGGACACACTGTCTTTGGAGAACAGGGAGTGGTCCATGTGTGTGGTTGGCCAGGGTGAAGGGCTGAGCAAGGAGTGAGCAAACAGGCAGCTGGGAAGGCCAACTGCAGCCACATTGGGAGGAGCCTGAATAGCCATGCTAAAGACGGTCATTACAGAGCTAAGGTCACACACCTGGTGGCCTGTGGGTCACATCTGGCTCACTGACTTGATTGGTCTGGCCCTCGAAGTGGTTTTGTTTTGTTTTTAGTAATGGACTGGATGCTAATGTTTAAACTAAGAAGATTTCGTGTGAAAATCCATATTTCTGGTTCTCTTGAAATACCTGGATTGGGCCATAGTGAACCTTCACTCTTTCTTGGTGGTAGTGATGAAAGAGGTGGCCTCTCCCTTTCTCAGACGTTGGAAGTCCATGTTTGATTCCCTTGAGACCAGGTCAAGTAGAGGTGCCTGTCCTCCCCAGTCCCTGTGTCAGGAACTGGGTGGGGCAGGGTGAGACTAGGCTGGCTGCCCGCAGACCTGGGGCTGGGAGTGGTCCCAGCCTGGGAAAGTCAGGCTGCCCTGACCAGAGGCACGGGCAAGAGATGCTGGGCAGGCAGAGCCACGGATGCTGACTGCAGGTGGTTGGGGGATGTTACCCCAGTAAGACTGCCCGCAGCACTGGGTGACCAGAGCGGCTTACAGGGCTCAGCTCTCCCACTGATTGCTCAGTCAGGGGGGCACTGGTCTGGCCATTTAGTGGCCCCGAGCTTTCGCTGCTTGTCCATCCCTCCCCAGAGACCCACGGGAGCTGTGGGAGTGGGTGTGGCCTTCCAGTGTGTGTTAAGGCCTGGAGCTCCTGCCCACCCCAGGAGGACGGACAGACACCACATGTCTTAGGCTGCCCCCCTCCTGCTACCACAGCTTTGGGCTCAGCCAGTGAAACTTAGGCTGACACATCCCAAGCACCAACTGTGCCCCAGGAGCTGTGGTAACTGTAAGGATACAAGGGGTAACCCAGTTCCTCCAGCTGTGGTCACGCGGGTGGTGAGAATTCCCAGGACCACCTTGCGTGCATTGCCGGGAGTCTGCGTTCCTGGTGACGTAGGGCCTGGCCCTGACATCTGTGGTTGAGCCTGGAAAGTGTGTGGCAGGGGAGGGGGTCCTCTTGAGGGTCTTCTCTGTCTCTCTGCCGTCCAGAGAGTACATGGGTCATATAGAGAGACCTCAAGGCTGCTGGGCCCATGTCACCTGGACACAGCCTTTTGGTCTTGCCAGGTCCTGAGCTGACCAGGTGCCAGGTCATTGTTGGCCTAGGAAGCTCCCACAGGGCTTCTTCCTGACTCCTCCCCTATCCCCTTCCTTCCTTCCTTCACACCTGGTGTTGTGGAAGAGAGTCTGAGGACGTCTCAGCTAAGGGATCCATAGTTCCTCCTGGGACAGCTTCCTCCAAGGCCTGAAGGCCTTTTCCAAATGGTGAATGAACTTGGAGAAGCTGCTTTAAATCATATTCAGGGAATTTGGGGCTTCTCCCCAAACTCTTCTGCCACCCCCAAGCCCAGCACACACTCTCAGGGTACGTCTCCTTCCTTGCACAAATTCCTCTCCCCTGCCACCACACTCTATGCTTCCATTAACTGTCTACCCTAGAACTTTACCATCTCCCAAAGGAGAGAGGAGGGAAAGTCGCCCAGGGCCTTGGGGTGTGCCTCCCCCCCACACACACACTGCCCTGAGCTAGCCAAGTGAAGGGCCCTCTTCTTCCCCACCTCCTCTGGTTCTCTGGCTGGGCATTCCCCGATCGTTCAGATCCTGCAGAGAAAGAGTGGCTCAGGGTGTGGACTTTGACCCTTAATGCTGTCCTCTGGGGCTTCTGATGTTCACCTCACACATGGAGTTTCATTATTTATCTCATCTTACAGAGAATGCCCTTTAAACAGCATTTTCAGAACAACCAACTAGCAATAATCTTACCATCCAAAGAAATCACTGCCAACATTTGGGGTACCTTGTTTGGGTTTTTTGTTTGAAATTTTTTAATGGTCCGTATAACCTCACAGTGGAGAAGGAAATGGCAGCCCACTCCAGTATTCTTGCCTGGAGAATCCATGGGCAGAGAAGCCTGGCAGGCTACAGTCCACGGGGTCACAAGAGTTGGACATGACTTAGCAACTAAATCACCACCACCATCATAACCTCACAGACAGTTCATTGAATCATAGTATTTCAGAATTACTGAAATAATACACAGTACTTTAGTCATTGGGCTTCCCTGGTAGCTCAGTGGTAAAGAATTCACCTGCCAATGCAGGAGACCTGGGTTTGATCCCTGGGTCAGGAAGATGCCCCGGAGAAGGAAATGGTAGCCCACTCCAGTATTTGCTTGAGAAATCCCATGGACAGAGGAGCCTAGCAGGCTACAGTCAGTGGGGTCACAAAGAGTCGGACAGAACTTAGTGACGTAACAATAGCAAGTGCTGCAGCTGTCCCCAGGAGGCCCTTCACGGTTCACAGATGGAAGAAATTGGGCTGAGACAAGGCAGGCGGCGAGCACAGGGACATTGTGGATGGGGTGGGGACACATACACACACACACACACACATTACCTCTCCTGGGTTCCTGGGGCCTTTAGCCAAGCCTGGACACCTCCACGTGGCTTCCTGAGCCAGAGGAAGTCAGCACATTTTAGTGCATCTTTTCATCTCTTCTGTGGCCCCTCACCAGCCTCAGTGGCACCAGAATTGAGAGGGAAGTTGAATTCTTGCTATACCACAATCCCCTGAAACTCATAACCGTTCCAGAAGAATGTGCCAGGGCCCTGTGCACTTCCATTTAAGGCAGTCTTTACAAACACCAGCCCCTCCAGATTTGTGAGTCGAACTCAGGGTCAGCAAAGCCACCTCCTTGTCCATGGGGTTGAGGAGAGTCCAGTCATAGCCCAGGTATCCCTGAAGTGTCCTGGGAGATCCTACTCTGGCAGGAGCTTGGCTCTGTGTGTGTCTGTCTGTCTGTGTCTGTGTGTCTAGGCTCGACTTCAAAGAACTCCCTTGATAAGTAATGACTAGACCTTGGTTGTCATGAAAATGCAGCCGCAGCATGTCTGCTGTACACCCAGCTATAGCACGGTCTGCGTGTGTAACCATGTACATGAGTTTACACTAATGCGATTATTATACAGGGGATCATCTAGAATTCTGGAGAAAGACAGTCTACTCCAAGCCACCTCGGTGAGCATAGTGTCCTGCTGAGAGGGAGGACCTGTAAAAACAGTCAGACCTCTCCTCGGACGTTGAGATACAGTTTCATCTCAGTTAAAGAAGCACAGGACCGGTGTGAGGCCCAGCAGATACACAGCGGAGAAGTTAGTGCCTGAGCCTCTAGGGCTCCATGGAGAGTGGCCAGGTGTGAGGCCACTGCCTCCACAGACCACTAGAGGGCGCGAGAGACAGCACGTGCGGGCCCTGGGGCGCCTTCTGGACCCAGAAACCGGCAGCCAGGTGCTGGACCCTTGTGCTTCCTGCCTTCAGCCATGCCAGGGGCAGGAGTGACAAGGACAGGAGCCAGTGGTGGGACCATGACAGGGACACAAGTCAGCCCACCACCGCCAGTGGGTCTGTCTGCACATTGCCTCTGGGAAGTGTGTCAGTTGGCACCCACAGCAGCCCCAGGACAGTCCTTGGAGGGGCCTGAAGGCTCGGTCATACAAAGCCTCTTAGGAGGGGAATGCACAGCCTACCGCACAGAGTCAGTAAGTGCGTGGGGGGCACCGAGATACGACCCGGCAGGCCTGCACTTCTGTTTATAACTGCCATGTACACAGTTAGAACACTCTGAGTCTTAAGTCTGGCCTCCCAAGTGACTCACCAGCAGGACCGCGCTTGGAATATGTGGAAACCTGGTATGTTTTAGAAATCACTGTTGTTACTTTGTAGTTAACTTGTATGTAAGAAAAGTCTGTGTTTATCTTGTTCTGTTTATATGGTTTTTTTCATCAAATGCCCACAGATACCAGGCGGGGCGCCCAAGCAGCAGAAAATGTGCCATTCCAGAGCAGGTCTTCGGCCTCATTTATGTACCATGTAATCTATACAGGTCAGAAAATGCTTCACAGGCCAGGAATGTCCAGCACCCTAATAAATAAACATCAGCTCTCAAGGCTGAACCCCACCTCCCACACTCCCAGTGTGAGTCAGTGAATTTCTGGACCCCGTTAACCATCATTACAGGGAGCCAGAGGACCTTGCTTGGGGCCCTAGGTTCGACTTGTGTGACGTGCCCACTGTAGCCTTCATTTGTGGGATGCTCCCTGTGTGCTCGGGGCAGGGCGCAGTGCTGAGACTTTGCCTAGATTACCCCATTCAGCCCTCGTACCCGCTAATCGAAGTCCCAGTAGTATCTCCATTTCCTGGTGAAAACACAAGACTTAGAGAATGGAATGGCTTGCCCCAAATGGGTCAAGATTCTATCAACCGGCCCCAGAACCTGAGCTCCTGACCACTCAGCCTTATATACAAACCTCTAATCTAGGTCCTAAAGCTTCACCAATGAGATTCATCCTCATTTCACGGAAGAGGGTACCAAGGTTCCAAAGGTGGTGTGACCTGGCTAAGGTCCCCAGCTAAAGAGTGACAGGATTCTCCTGGTCTCCCCTGTGCCAGGCTGCCCCTCAGCTCTTCCCCGCCCCCAGCCTGGGCCTGCAGCTGCATGGGTTATTTTAATCTCTCCTGTCATTCTAGCCAAACCACTGGGACAGTGAGTCAGTCATGCGGTTGGTGGAGGAAGGGTGCAGCTGGGAGCCCACAATGGAAAAGCTGCTCCAGCGGGTGGGCCTCCAGGCCCTGAAGCCCCCCTGCGCAAAGGGAGGGGCCTGCCTGTGGCTCTGGGCAGTCACTTCAAGGCCTGAGCCAGCAGCCCGCTCCCCAGAGCTCGGGGCTGATGTGGTGAAGAGCTCACTTCTGAGTGACGTGGCCTCTGTCCTCCACCCAGGTGTCAGCTGTACCCACCGTACTGGCCATGAAGAATGGGGACGTGGTGGACAAGTTTGTGGGGATCAAGGATGAAGACCAGCTGGAGGCCTTC